TTTCCCTAGAGCAAGGTGCTCACAGAACCCAGCAGCCCAATGACCAGTTCCTTTCTATTCTGGGTCACAGCACCTGTTACCAACGAAGTTCAGAGCTGCTGATTTTATAAAAAAACATTTTATATACTTGACTTAAGTATATTTTGGGGTTTCAGCTTAAACCAGCAGCGACTGCAGCCAGCAGATCGCCTGGCCGACCCGTGGCACAGGCTAACGTGGGGGTATGCTGCTGTGGCAGCACGACCACAAGCAGGGAGAGTCTGAGATCTCACGCCTGGTCCTCCTCGTGACCTGTCACTCTCAGACCCCCCAAACGGTCGTGGCTGATGCAACTGCTCACTGTGGCAATGGCTTCAATGGGCCCAAGGAGAGCCCCAGCCTTGGGACAGGGAGTGAGGTACGAGCAGAAATCACAGCTCCCCCGGGAGAGGACAGAAGAGCCCTCTCTGTCTCTCTAGCAAGACCTTTGAGATACTGGCTGTACCCACAGACCCCCGCTCTCGCATCCAGCAGACCCCTTCCCCATAGTGAAGGGAGCGGAGGACCCCCACCAAACAAAAAAACACTGTCTGGTCCCACATCAGACCCAGGGCCACAGGACCAGGGCTTTCCCCCATTTCTGCGGGAACCTGAACCTAGGGGACATCACCCCCCGCCACGCGTCAAGGAAGGGGAGCAGAGCAGCAGGGCAGCTGCAATACATTACTTGGCATATGGCGCATGCAGCATAGAATAGACCTGGCTTTGATGCGGAAATCCCTTTCTCCATCCTGTAGTCCCTGATTTACGAGGTTAACGACTTCGTCTGGAGTGAGGTCTCCCCTGTAGGGAAGAAAAGCCATCAGCAAGAGGTCGGATACCCACCAGGGAAGCAGGCAGGAGCCGCAGGTCCAGCCCAGCATCCCCACGGGACACCCCACACAAACCCCAGGCTGCCCAGGGTCCCACTCACCTTAACATCCAGAGGAGCCCGATGAGGCTGCCCAGGGCTGAAGAACACCTTTTACACCCATGCCATGCCCAGATTTACAAGATGTCGGGCACAAAAGCATGCAAAGATGATAGTAAGATTTCTAAAAGCCTGGGGGAACTGGATGCAAATCCCACCTGAGCAGAGGAACCCGCTCTTTGCCAGAGCATCTCCTTGGGGCACACAACTGCCTGCAGCCGGGGAGGGACGACCACGGGTGCTCAACACCCACCACAGCACATTTTGCAAGGGGCCGCAGAGCTCAGCATTGATTTAATCAGAGGCACACATCATAGTGGGGATGACAGGTAAAGAAGGGATGAGATCTCCAGCCCCCTCCCACATTGCCCACCGTCTCTGCCAGCTCAAATTCGCATTTTGCGAGCAGGCAATCCACATTGGATGTGGCTTTCCCTTGCACAGAGGCTGGCTCCAGCCAGAAGTTTAAGCACAGCTGCTCTGCACATGCACAATTAGGTGCCCAAAGCAAAGGATGTTAAAACACAGCAGCATGCAGAGATATTATAGGAGGAAAAATCCTATTGACAGGGAAGAGAGGTGGAAGAGTGCCAGCGCTCGCTGCACTGGAGGAGGGGGAGGTTTAGTTACACCAGACTTTGAACACACGCTGGCTTCTGCATGCCCGCCTGGCACGGCGGGATCACTCACTCGGTTTGGCCCCAGGGGATGGGATCCACGCGGCAGTTGGCCAGGAGGTGAGGGCTGTACCGGACCTCCACGTAGATGACGCCTTCCTTTGCTTTTGTTTCTACAAGCTCGTAGGCGATCCTCCTCACCGCCTCACGGTCACCCCTGCAGGGACGGCAGTGGGACCCATCACCGGGACTCGTCACCCTTGGGGCATGCTGGGGACGGACGAGCTGACCTCCAAGGCTGAACAACATTAGAAGGGGTCCTACTAAGGGTTGAGGGGGAAGAAGCAAAAAGCAGGGTACTTACGCAATGGCAGGCATGTAGTGATTAAACTTCTCTAGAAATTGAGTAAGTGTCAGTGGTGTTTTGTAGCTGACATGCTTCAGGAGGTCATCAACAGTGCTACCTGGGAGAGGAATCCCTCTTTTCCTGGAAATGAAGCAACATGTTACTGACTCAGAAAGCGATCTCATTTTTAATCAGTCCATTTCATACAGCAATCACGTCTCAAGCTGGCAGCATTAATCTCCATTTCTTCACAGAAAAGATATGGCACACACCGTCCTCCCAAAATCTCCTCGCAGATGCAGCCCTGAATCGCAGTGGGGATGAAGGCAATCCAAAATACAGGCAAAGCACAAACAAATCGAAATACAAGCTCAGACTGACCTGGCAAGAACACAGAGCACATTTTGAGCTTAAGAAAGAGTTCATCTAAAGGGGCCCTGGATTATTTCTTAGCACCTCCTAGTCCTAGCGGCAGAATTGCCAAAATCCTTCAGAAAAGTTAATTTCCACTTATGCAGGTTCAAAGCCTTGAAAAATCACGGAGATGCTCCCAGGCACAAAATCACACGTGCAGAAGTGCAGTGGCTTGTGGGTTTAATGCCAGCAGCTCCCGTGAGTGAGCCGGTTCCCAAGCCAAACATCGCAGTGGCATCTTCTCTGATGGGGACATCCCCGTGCAGGAGCAAACAGCAGTCCCAGAAACTGCTCTTGCCAAAGGAATGGAGATGGTAAAGCCCACCTAAACTCTCCCAAGCGGGAAGAAGCTGTTTGTCCCTGGAGCACCTGGAGTCCTGGGCGGGTGGAGGTGTCCCCGGTGGGGTGACAGCCGGGCTCGAGGGGCTGCCAGCCAGGGATGCTGCACGCTTCTCGGGCAGGCTTCACCACCCCCACTCCACAGGCTGTCGCTCTGCCCATGAATGCCAGCCTAATTAGGAATAATAACTAAACATTTGTTTTTAATCCTCTTTCCTGACACAATGAATTACAGTTGATTGATGGACCTCTCTGCTAATAGAAACAAAACACCACAGACAGCTTTAGCGTCCCAATGCCAGCAGCCATCCTGAGGCGCAATCTGCAGGGAAGCAGCCCAAAGGACCCCGCTCCCGGGCCCAGTAAACGCTGCTCATTCCCTGCTCGGGCAGGAGGGAAGCCCATCCCACACTCAGCCTTTGCACACACAGATTACGCTGCTTGCACTCAGCAGGGGATGTTCATCACTGCCAAGGCATCAGTTTTCCTCCCCGCCTTGCCCTTTCTATGGCACTGACACATCAGGCTCTGCTCCAAGACAGCAGAGACACAGCCAAGTGTCTTCTTCCACCTGCCCAGGGAAAGCTCCCTAGAGCAAAGCCATTTCCCTGACCTTCTCTGCATGCTTCCCAAAGGATCGCCTCCGTGCAGCCAGCAGCAACAGCGCTTTGGGATGATCCACAGCAGAGAGACGCTCTCTCAGAGCCAGGTCTCTGACTGTGGGGGTCTGGTGAATCTTGCCACCACGGCTGTGGGAGCTGCTGCTGCCCCATCCAACCTGCCCAGCAGCTGGGAGCCTTCCTGCAGCAAAGCTGCCCCAGGGGAATGTGCTCATGCCCACCAGCACCTCGGTGTCCTGCCCAGAGCTACCTCCAGCCATGGGCAGCACCACGCACACCGTCCCACCGTGGAGAGGGCACCTCTCCTAGGGACACCCAGTCCCATGAGGGGTCTGCCACGGCTCTAAACCCTTTGGCTGAGCAGGGGAGATGCAAAGTCTGACCCAGACCTTGCAGAATTGGACCCAAAGCTTCTAAAAATGGCAGAGTTCGACCACTGCCCAAGGGGGCTTGTACATCCCAGCAGCTTCGGGTTATTTGTCTGTGGTCAGCCACCACCTGCAAATTTATTTCCATCTCTTTACCTTTAAAAGCAGCTTCCACAAGCAGCTTTCTGTGTCCAGGGTGAGGTTATTAAGGCAGTCCCCTACAGTCTCTACACTGCCCCATTGCCTTACATTTGGGCAAGTGCTAGTTTGAGAGCCTGTGAATAGCACAGCCTTGCTCCACCCGAGGGCTGGCAGCTCCAGGGGATGCCAGGGCTGTTTAAAAGTAAGAGGGAACTCAGCACAGACTCGGGCAATGAAGGTTTCTGTCCTAAGCAAGTGAGAGGCAGACGGCCGGTGTCCCCTGGGCTTCAGGGCTCCGACAGCCCTCCTGGGGAACTACACCAGCATTTGTCCTGTGCTGGCAGCAGGGACCCAGCAGAGCCCCATGGAGGCAGCACTGACTCCTCTGTCCATCGGGACTTGTATTCCAGCCCTATAGCCCACCAGCGGCACGGGCAGAGCCAGCAAGAACCCCAACTCAGCTTGCTGTGCCAACATCCTGCAACGAAGTAGGTGGGCATCTCTGATCCACCTTCTTTACTCTGACTGTACTGTGAGATGCATGGCCGCTCCCTGCAGAAAAAGCTGCTTTAGAAAGAGTATTTCCCCCTAGGATCGCGTTGCCTTGGAATCTGCTGGGCTCACAGGATGCCAGAACCATTCCCATCCCAATTTCCTCCCCAGAGTACCAGAGCTGTGCCTAAGAGCTGTTTCCTGAAATGTTTAAGCTTGCCACTTTCTCAGTCTGAGGGTATAGAATCACAGAATCATAGAATCATAGAATGTTTAGGGTTGGAAGGGACCACTAGTGGTCATCTAGTCCAACCCCCCTGCAGTGAGCAGGGACACTGCTAACTAGATCAGGTTGCTCAGAGCCCCATCCAACCTGGCCTTGAATGTTTCCAGGGATGGGGCCTCCACTACCTCTCTGGGCAACCTGTTCCAGTGTTTTACCACCCTCATTGTAAAAAATTTCTTCCTTACCTCTAGCCTGAACCTACCCTGTTCTAGTTTAAAACCATTTCCCCTTGTCCTAACACAGCTGGCCCTACTAAAAAGACGTTCCCCATCTTTCCTATAGGCCCCCTTTAGGTACTGGAAGGCCGCAATCAGGTCTCCCCGTAGCCTCCTTTTCTCCAGACTGAACAAGCCCAACTCTCTCAGCCTGTCCTCATAGGAGAGGTGCTCCAGCCCTCGGATCATTTTTGTAGCCCTCCTCTGGACCCGTTCCAACAGTTCCATGTCCTTCTTGTGCTGAGGGCTCCAGAGCTGGACGCAGTACTCCAGGTGAGGTCTCACCAGAGCTGAGTAGAGGGGCAGAATCACCTCCCTCGACCTGCTGGCCA